CGAAGCCTAATTTTTCATTCGGCGCGCAGCCAATTTGTCACGGTGTATCGCATTGTTATAAATGACGACGCGAACGGCGAAGGAAAAAAAAGCCGCCCGAAGAACGCATACATACATCCGTATGCGCGAGGGCAAAACTAATTTGCATAGGATTTGCTCTGGAGGCTCGCAATTGCCTTTAATGAGCATTAATTATTGATTAGCCTGTTGCATCGGGCCGCGCTGCGCTGCTTTCTCTTCCCTCGCTGCGCTCGGAGTCGGGCAAGAGATATCTGTTTTCATTTCACGAGCGCACGCGGTGAATTGATTATATCATTGCACAACGCCCACGTGGACTATCGCTAATGATCGATAAAGCCCTCCGTCGTGCGCCGGATTATACTTTAGACGTCTCGAGAGCAAATTAGCTCTGGATAAAACTCGGAAAAGTATGAAACAGAAAGGTAAGGAGTCGCTCGGCGGGCGCTTATCCTCAACCCCGTCCTGTACCGGATTATTTTCCTTCATTATACAAAGTCGGGCAAAATTTACACAATATTTTATTTATACATCGCTGGGGCACTTGCGGATGGTTTCTGTTGGTGCTTTAGCACACTTACATGCGCACACACACACATACATACAATAGACGCAAAAACCATAGTTGTACTCTTTCTCTGGCATTGAGTGCGCAGAGTGCGCCATAGGCAGTCCTTTCACCTTTCCGTGCAGGCAGGAAAAGCCTTCCTCGCGCGCGCGTTCGTCTCATACTCCTGCACACACCCATACATACAGAGAGTACAGAGACATACACATGCGCTCACGTATGAGAGTTTGCGCTTTGAGCTGCAACATTTCCGCGTGTCTGTGTGAGTGTGTGTGTGTGTGTGTGTGTATGGGAGCTCGGTGCTGCGTTGCGAATATGTGCGCTCTGGTCCTAACTAACGCAGGCCGATGGCCCACGCCCCGAGTAACCCATTGTAGCCTAGCTGAAGCACACGAGTAAGCTGTACATGTGCATGTCTCTGTGTGTCTGTGTGTTCTTATACATGTACATATGCCATTATGCATTGTTTTCCTTAGCTGCCCTCTATCTGCTCTAGTGTATTCTCCACTTGCGATGTTTCCTTTTGTTCCTTCCTTCGAGCTTCCGACTACGACGACGACGTCGGAGGCTTTGCGCTCTTGACTATATACACGTTTCCTATGTACACTATTGCACGATGCCCCTATACTGACCTTATACTGACCTTTGCACTATACTCGACATTTTCTTTGACCATATACATTTATCGCGTGGTCGAGTCCTAAGGATTCGTCGGGATAAGGCGCCGAGATAAAAATCTCCAAATTATTCGATTCGATTACTTTGCGATGACACTCGCTCGGATTGATGGAGCCTCGGATAAGGAATTGAGCATCATATACGTAGCCGCACTCGTCGTCGTGACGTAAGACGCACCACAATCGCGGTTCGTTCAAGCGAGAAATCAATCGATTCTCCCGGCCTACGCTCGCCTTTTCATTGTTCTATATTATCGATTGCAATTGTCGACTGCTGCTGCTGCTGCAAAAAAAAAAACTTGGCCGACGAGTGAATTATACAGAACCGAGCCGAGGAGAAATGGCAAGTATTATAGTAGTAGTAGCTTATGGATAAGCCACGCGATCGCAAATCCTATAGTCACGATAGGTATCTATATCGGAGCCGAGGCATTTTTCCATTTGCTCGCGACGAGTTGGCAAATTACCGCCTCGTAAATTCGATTAAAATGCGCTGATCGCGTTTGTTCGCGTAGGGCAATTTTATTTCGCGAAATTGCCTTACGATTATTAAAATTGACGTACGGCCGATCTCTCGTTGATGGGACGAGAATATTAACAAGTTCCCGAGCATATTTTCTGCGTATATACAAATACGTCGAGAGACCTGATTTTCCCTTTCAACAACAGCCAATAACAACACCGACGACAGTTTTGTCGTTTTCATGGCCATAGAGTTTTGTTCTTGCTGCTGCTTTTTTTATTCTTTCACTTTCAGCTGCTCGAGTTATCGTTTGCCGATGATCATGACACGTATATCATAGCGAATGCAACTACTTGTGAAATTAATTTTATTGCGCACTCGGGTATAGTAGTAGTATAATGTATAGCTCCCAGAATACGCGTAAAATGCCTGAGATTTCGATGGAAGCGTTCTCGAGCCTCAGAACTGGCGCGTATTACGAATTCAGTAGGCCTGCCTGGCTGCACGCGGCAAACACGCCGCCGCCGCCGCCGCACGCGCGCATGTGGGAGCTCTGCAACTTTTATCAGTGTCAAAATCGTGTCCGAGAGGGCTCTCCTCCTTTCTGCGTCCCGCGAGCAAACAATCGCAATTGCTCGGGCCTGTTGTATAACGAGCGAGCTCGAGATATCAATCCCGTAGCAGCAGCAGCAGCAGCAGCTCGGTATGGCATCGTGATCTCTGAAATATACGAGCGCAGGATCTTTTTCTGTCAGGCCCTGCCTCGCGTCAAATGCGCTCACCGCCGCCGCCGCGACTCATGAAAAACGAGAGCGAGCTCGTAGGAGTAGCCGGCGCGCTTGTAAGAGCAGCAGCTCTCTCGTGCCAGCGAGCAGCGCTCATGAGCGGGTGACTTCGTGATTCGCCGTGGGAAAGGACGATATGGATCTGGCATCACGAGGCATTTATTATTTTTCAGCCCGTTGCTCGGGCCTACATACATATAGCTGATCTCTTGTATATTATTGTACATAACCGTTGTATATGTATAGCATGCACGCTACGTACAGTGCAGCAGTTTCGATTCCTATAGTGCCTCAATCGACAATACCCAAGCCTGACAAATAATTTATCTTCCGCCTAAAGCCGTAATCGATTAGCTCGCCATTTGTATGTATAAAGTTTTGCTCTCTTTAATTGGACTAATTGAGAATTAACGCTATTGGCTCGGCTCGTGTGTAATAATTACGTATCGCGGCGCGAGCGGCTTAACAAGTCTTATTTGCTCTTTTGCTTTCAGCGATTGTCTCCGTCAATTATATTTACTCGTAGTTCCTCCGCCGAGGATCTGGAGTATAGATTGCTGATAGTGCAATGCAGCAGAGCCACTGCCTGATGTCGCGCGCGTAAGTACGTTGCCGAGTTTACTTTGCCGTTGCCATATAATATTATATACATCTCATTGATAGTTGCCATAGAGCTACATGCTGTTGTTGGTATATAGGACTATATTTCGAATGAATTTCAATACTAGAACATCCATGCGCGGTGTATCCCAAACGTGCACTGCAGTGAACGCCTTCTTTGTTCATTATGTACGAAAACGAGAGGGTTGCTGAACTGCTACTTTTGCGGGAAAGTGTATTCGACTCGCGACTGTGTCTACACGTGTACACACTACACATTTACACATATGTGCATCAGAAGACGGGTGAGAACATACTTCTCTTCTATTTGTATTATATGGTAAATTCACCGCAGAACTCATCGATGTGTTGCAACTTTTCGCGTATATTATGTAGCTGCCGGCAGGATGCAGCGGAGCGAGTACGATGCGTGTTGGCTGAAATTAGCTCAACTATATGTACCATATATATTGGTTGAATTCGACTATTTGCATAATGCGTTCTGTATCTGCTGCTGCTGCTGCTGCTGCTGCGAGACCAAATCGCGTATGCGTTTCGTGATATGCACCCGATCGTCAATATCATTAAAATGATAATGCGCGCGAGTTTCCAGCTGATCGCACGAAAAGCCCTGCAAAATCACGACTATCCATTATCGTTTATATTACATATACTCCCGAAAAAACCAATCGATTGTCGTAAAAGTCAGCGAATTCGCTTACGGCGAGCTCCAGCGCGTGGCAATATCAATTCGGGCCCGCACGCGTGTCGCTGAGCGCACAGAAGCTATGTTACGTATAGATATGCGCGCGCGCGAAAAACGCGACAGTTTACGATTATTATATATATAGAGCGAAAAGCTAGAATTGCGCTCTCGGGCTCGAGTCACGGGCGCGCAGCAAACTTGTGCACGTGTGTGTGTTTGTGTGTGCTCGACTTTTGGCGTGGCTTTCCTTTTTTCCTCTCACTGAATATAACATATATTATATCTATATATTATTCCCACGGGTGCATTACTACTACGTACACAACTGCTACTGCCGCCTCGCAAAGTTCGCAATCGTGCGCACAGCTCGCGGCCGCATTGATCTTGAGAATCGTTGAGACCCAGGTTGAGCGGTGAACTCTCGAGGCTCGAGACTTTGACGCACACACACACACACACACACACACCGATAGGCGCACGTTATGAAAATAAATTAATTCGATTTTTCTCGACGATTATTATTTCAAATGAATTGATCCTTCTGGCGTTTTTTATCCTTCAAGCCCTCGATCGATAATTCTTCTTTTTTTTTTCTTAATTGGATCGCGCTGTTTTTCTTCCACAATGCGAGCACTCAAAATCGGTTTATAGTGTGGCATCGCCTCGAGGCAGATTACGCCAGCTTCGCGTACCGATTTGGCGAATCAATTAACAATTTTAGGTACATACCGATGAAATCGAGTAATTGTTTTTCTTATGTATGCACTTTGCAAACAACCATGGGTCAATTTCGTTCGAGCGTTACGAAAGAAAATAAATCCCACCGTTTATCACTGAATCAGTGTTTTAATCGTGCGCACGAGACAACCAGTTTGAAATGAACAATTTTACAATTTATTAATTTAAAAAAACGCAAACATTGCGTACATACATCAAATAATGCCTTGAATATTACGTTCAGGATATCCCACAGCTCGGTCGGTGTATCCGAAATGGCTTAAATGTTATACAGTTCGTGCGTTTAGCCAAAAAAAATATTTTCCCTGGCCAAACTTCCCGATATAACGTTAAGATAACACAATATTCCCTTGTTTTTATTTTGTCATTTTTTTTCTGCGTCGAAAAACGCACCCGAGGGCACATACCATATGAGAGACAAAAAAGAGAGAGAGAGATAACTCACGTTCGGTGGAGGTGTCGATGTTGGCACAGCAGCAGCGTAACAGCGGTCTCAGCGAGTAACAACAAAAACACAAAAACAACAACAACAAGAACAAACAACAACAAAAACAACGAGGAACGAAGACGGAAGCACGTGTGTATATTAGTGTGTGTGCGGTTCGCGCACTCTCCTGCCTTGCGTATTTATTATCTGAGCTTCATTCGCTCGAGCGAGCACACCGACAACAATAACAACGACGAACCCCGATCGAGAGTTTTGTGCACTGATCGTGGCGTTGGCCACACGCTCAACTTATATATCTATGTTCTCTTTCTCTGCCGCTCGACGTACGCCCGCAGATCACAAGCAACGGCAGTAGCAGCAGCAGTAGGTAGTAGTAGCGAGTCTTCTTTGTGCTTGTGCACCTTCCTCGACTCCACTGTGTGTGTGAGTGTGTGCATGCACACTCGCCCGTAATATTCGACGATCTACTACGGCTCCTTCGCGCCGGGGACTCGCCTAGGCCACATAGACGTAGTATAAGTACGCTCCACCGCCACTATGCATCTCCTCCACTACCTTTTTTGACGTATAACTCTTTCTCCTTGCGCCACTGCAGCCGCAGCAACTACTTCTACTACTACTACTACTACTACTACGCGCGCGCAAGTAAAGGACGCTAATCCGACTTTCCGTGCCTGTCGCGCAATTATGCATATAAGACGGAGCAACGAGCTACAACCCTTACGGAACGAGCTCGAGCTTCGGGGGATTTATTTTATTCAAGGATTTGCTGATACTTTATCGGGACAGGCGTCTCCGAGCTATGAGACAAGTGATTCGTAATATACCCTTGTCCCTCCTAGAGTGTTAGGATAACATCGTAGACTTTCTGCTGGATTAAGCAGGGCTTTTTTCCTACATTACTATCGCTATCACACACCAATGACATTTCAAAAACTCTTTTGTATTTTTCGTTCAATGTTATTCAAGTTGCTACGTGCTCTCTTTTGTTCTCTCGTTTCCTTTTACATAATATCTGATTTATCTCTTCTTTTGAATTATTGTAAGTCAAATCATCAGTCTTTTCAAATAGTTTGAATATCCGCAAGCTCAAAAGTATTTTTTTTATCTAACGAATGCAAAAAACTAGTAAAACAGCAATGACTATGTCTATATTTTATACGAGCTTATCAGCAGATTCTCTGCTTTCTCATTTTGAGCAAAATTGCGACGTCAAAATGTATTACGTTAATAATCAACGAGGCAAAAGCACAAATTTCATGATAACAAAAGTACTCGTGAGAGAAAGGTAGCATTTCGCGGATTAAAATTCACCTAGAAACTAGATTCCAATTAATATGGCTTTGTAAAATCCATTAAATTATTACAATAATTAGTACAGATTTTCTCGGTGTGCGCCATCATTTTCATTATTCGCTTTTGCATATTATGATTTATGTAAATATACATTTCTGGGAGCTTTTTGCTTGAAAAAACGCTGAAGCTAGAATAAAATTGAACTCTTTGGAAGAATGTTTCTACAGCTCTAATTAAACTACTCATTAAATCATCACGTTGAGAGTTGATGTATCATGCATCTTACCCCACATATTATCATTTATTTTTTTGAGAATTAAGAACATCGAACTACCTTGACTATATTGAAAATATCAAAAGTCGTGCATTGACTTGTACAATTTTTTTACATGGTCACTTGCAAATTTACAGATAAAGGTATTCACCATTCAGCCGTAGTATTATATTATATAGTATTGTAGTATAGACGTGTATTATAGTAATCAAAGAAGTTAAAAATAGGACGAAATTTGCATTAACAGTTTTTTTCAGGTCATTTAAAAAGTGCTTATTTTACATATAATTGTTTGTTAAAAACCACCAAAAATAAACTTATTAATTATGATGTATTTTAAAAAATTTTCAATGATAATTTCTTTATGCAATCATTAGGTCATTTTTAATGTTGAACATTTCTAGTAGCAGTATTCGATAGTAAGCCAAGAAATGTACAAGCCTTAAACGACAAGATTTATTCTATTTGCAAACGTTCTTTCAAATTCCCCAAAAAATATATCATAGAGAAGCTCGCGTAAAAGTGAGAAAATATAAAATCTAGATAAAAGATTTCGAAAATTGTAAGTTTCATTTAAAATTCCAACGTAAAGTTCAAGAAAATAAGCCATTCAACAGCAAATTGAAGATTCGCGATGCAAATGTATTAAATTATTAATTAGTAGTATAAGCTGATTGTGCTAATTTTGCTTCGGATAATTTATTGTTGTTTTAGTAAATTATTACCTTATTCGCTGCTATTTTTGCCTGATCATTGGCTTAGTTTATTTATTTACGTAATACCTGCATTATTTTTATACAAACCGTGCGTAGATATATATGTATAGTTAAATAGGTCTGTGAACTAGAAATTCATAAAAAAACTTTCCATTCTACTTAATGTACACGTCTAAGGAAAAGTAAACAATCTCGTATATCAAAGTGCGCAGTGCGCAAAAAAAAAAAAAATAACGAAAGCGATAACTCTGATTAATTCAGTTTGCTAGTGCTTTTTTTCTTGCGCAATTTTTATATGGCGTATAAAAGAAATGTGTACCGGGCAGACGTGTGTATCATAACTCTAATAAAATTGCCCGAAACTTGCCCAACTCAACAACACTGAGATCCAAGTAGCCTCTGAGCGTTACGCGTCTAAATCCAGTGATGGTGATAAACGACGAACGAAGCGATGGAAAATTAAAAACAATCGTTCATCACAAATATTCAGGATCGGCCTGTGCGCATTCTCTAATAATATTATAATTCGAAGCTTAAATGCGCTGTTGCGTTAAATGCATGCGATACTATGCACATTGTGTAATTGAATAAGTGGAGGAATAAACATTTTTATCCATATCAACGCACACACGTCACGCCAAGTGGGGTCATTTCACAGCGATTACGATCGCATCACTCGCACAAGTCCAACAGGTGGAACATTTCAAGCGCGCACAGCACATAAGAAACCAAACGCCCGCGAGGGCAAAGAACGATATCTTATGTATATTTCTATATATTTTATTTCCCTGCGCGTGAATTATAATTAACTTGCGCGATGCAGTTTTCACTTTACTTCTTTCCGTATAGACTTACTCATTCATACAAAAGTAGATAGCGTATATCAGTACATCTTTTCTGGATATATTAACACGACGATGTGATATAAAATTCCAAGAAAATTTCGTTCATTTTCCTGTTCATTTCTAATTTACTTTCTGCTCCTCGCGAAGTCCAAAGAAAAAGCAATTATCAATTTCAAGGCTACCATAGATCTAGTGGGCAAATAAAAGCTCGACGAAAATGCGCGCTTGTAATAGATATTCGCAGAAACAATGGTTTTGTGCAATTTTCGTTCCAAAGCCATTGTTACCGTATGTATACCTAATCGAAGGCGATTAAATTCCCGTGGTCCATGAAACATCGGAGTAACCGAAAAATAACGTATAGAGCAATAGCTCTAACAACGATTGCCTTTTAAATATACACACGATCATATTATGTACTTCTCAATGCGAAAAAACGTTGGGCTCAATCAAGAGATAGGGGCAAACGGCGCCCAATTATTTACGACGCCTGCAATTGCACGAAGAGATCAGAACGTTATAAGAAAAAATTCAAGTATTTCGAGCGAAAGATCCTTGCAGATGTCATCGCTGCGACAGGCAATTTTTTCTCAACATCTAGTTCGTTTTTTGTCACTCCTATTTTCATTGTTACAGCCTTCTATGGAGTTATTTTCCTTTTTCATGAATTTATAGCTGAAGCAGCCTTATATCTTGGTGCTCTCTGATCTACTTTAATATACCCCAATGTATTTATCCTAGCCATGCACCTTATATAGCTTTCGCGATTATGATTGAATGTATCATTGAATTATCTTACATAAGATGTGTGTGTGTGTGTGGGTATGTGCACAAAGCAGAAAGTCACTATCGCGCAGAAAATTTGTTTTCAGGAGCCACATGGCTCGTGGGGCAGCTATTTTTTTCCTGCAGCTGCGTGAGAATCGTAGGAGATATATTTTAAGGTGTCTGCGCTCTCAAGTTTGCGTAATATCACGGCAACGCCGCGCCAGCCCGCATTTATATATGACGAGCAATATCGCTTTTTTTGTGCAACAATACGCTCGTAATCTGTCAGGAGCTCGGCCGTCGTTAATCATTCAGAGAACGTATATACAGGTACATATATTGTGTACAATGTGTGTCTATCTAACCGGTACGTATAATGGGTTTACCCAGATCTTGGTTTACACGCTGGCTATCTCGATTCCGGCCAGCGATAAATTGCGATTCGACGAGACGTGCACTCGCAGTCCGCATTTCCTTGCCCTGTAAAGCATATCTAAATACCCACACCAAAATATATTTAGCTCGCCGTTTACGTACAAATTTTAATGCGCAAGTATTGGTGAATTTGGTCAGAATTGCTGGCTCAGCGTGTGTGTGACACGTGAAATTATGGTATCATGCAATTCGAAAGGCAGACTTTAGCGCGTCAATGTCACGATCGAGTGGTTCGTGTGGCTGTTACCGTGTGACATGTCACAATCATGCGCGGACAATATCTTCTTGTCTTTGACGTTTATGCGAATAAAACCGGAGCTAATCAATTATGCGAGAATATTTTTCTGTAAGACTTGGAGCAATCGTTGATATTGAATAGATGCAGAAAAAATAACAAGCAATAGACATGAATTAATGATAAAAAAACCAATACTATTCGAATTTTAATTTTAGCATATTTTATAACAATTAAAAATAGTCCTTAAACACTTCGTGATTAAAAGTAGTAGAACCAGACATTATGAATCATCATCATCGTCGTATTCACCACTATCACCTCCTTGATCATAACTATCACCTTCATCGTAGTTTTCGTCATATTCATCAGTTTTCTTTTCCTTATTTTTTTCATCTTTTCCATTCTTAGTCTGAAATTATTTGATCATTAAAATGTTTGAATGAATCTTAATTTTAAAAAAATTAATAGACTAACTTGAGATTCGCTGTCTTGAGCTTTATTCTGAGTTTCACCTAAATTCATACGTTTTGCCGGTGAATCTTGATTTGGTGGATCTTCGTAGCTAGGAAATACCCAAAGAACTTTAGGCAGTTGTTGATCATCGGATGAAGTT